CTGCATTCAATTTCAATTTTTTCCAATTCATTTTTCACCGGTAGATTAAACCGCTCATATCTATGGAATTTTAGGGTGAACCAGTGGGGTTACCCGGCCGACGCCGGGATTCCCTCTTTCTTATGATATGATTAATATAAACGCAATAATCAACTCCATTCGATTAACTCCAGCAATAGTATGCATGAGTGAATTCAAACCTGTATGTTGAGCCTTGGAAGGTGATATGATTTTTGTATTTTTTCAGCACACTGGTATCGGTGCTAATGTGAGTGCTTACCAGAGATTTAGCCAGCTCGTCGTTTCGCGAATGAAAGAGGCTCCGTTCAATTGCGTTGAGGAATGCCAGGGAGAAGAATATGCAGCTGTAAGTTTTCAAAGTGCACCATAATTTTCGACATAAACCAGTGACTGCTTCTGCATACTTGTCTATCGGGACACCAGACCGGTGCTGGTCATCATCTTGATGATGGAGAAGGAGTAGATGAGATCGCATTTAGGCAGCGACATATGCCGGACAACTTCATGATTCGTTTTATGCATATGCTCGCGGACTCAATGCTTCCCTCAAAAAGGACCCTAACAGTTACCGTAACGGATCGTTTCTTTTTAGCAACATGGTGATGTCGTTTGAAGGTGAGCTCATCTCTTTTTGCTCGCCACTACTCTTCGCCGCCTCGCCTTACATAAGCAGCGTATTGATTTGTATATAGGTATTGAATTGTTGGTTGGGGCTTGGAGGAAGAGTTCACGACAGTTCCATGTACCAATACTGGGCAACAGGGCGGAAGGTTCCATATAGGGTGTCCCATCGGCGAAAACGAGAAAATGCCTAGGAAATTTCGAAATATATCGTATTTTTCGTATTGATGAGTTTTGAGGTTCACAGAAACGAGATTTCCCTCGCCATAGTGTAATGTGCGCGTGAGGAACCATATTCACAACAAACGTGCTCCATTTCGAAGACCAGCCTTTCGTCCGCGAAACCACTTCTTTTTCTGGAAGTAATTCCCAGTGGTCAGTATCGGTACGGGCTTGTGAGCCTTTATTGTGCCCCACCTAGGCCCCTTCTCGACCAGACAGCGCCTAATATGTCCTTCTCATTTCAAAACTGCTTTCATCGCCAACTATGACTTGAAGACTACCTACTGTGCAGTCTGCTTGGAGAAGTGCTCAGTTACTCGATGGATGCTTGAAAGGTGGACGTGTTCACTCGGGGACCATTACCATTACGGGCAAAATTAGGTCAGCAAAGCAAAACGTAAGAACACAATCATCCAGTATTTTGAGACGAGCTGAGAAGAAGGGGAGAGAAGATCATTGAAAAAACAGTACTGTTTTTGAGTGGAAATTTGTAAAGGTGTATCTGGTGATGTGCGGATCAGCTCCAGTGGCGCACGGATGCCGTCGTTTTACTACGATGGTCTAGACAGTTCCGGCAAGCCAATTCTGTATGGAGCTGTTTTTGTTGATGGAACTCAAGCGGTATTTTTTTGGTTTACTTTCTACGGTCATTTTTTCTGTCAATTTGTACTAAGTAAGGGATGTTCTCCGTGCTTCAGTGAAATATCAGAATCCGTAAAATGCTTTTCCTTTTGGGAATTTGGGAGAGAAGTAAATATTCTGCCACCGCTAAACCCGCCTAATTGCGATTCGAAAGATTGCGTGCTTAATCTCATTCTTCAGAATTTTACTCGACTTATTTCCAACGAGGCCCAATTCTGGTGGAGCAGAGGTGGTAACCGGCCACGAGCAGTGCCTATATGTGGATTTAGTGGGAATGAGGTATCGCATCCTTCGCAGTCAACCCGAATCAATTGATTTTTGCGTTAACTGCAAAAGAGAAGAGGGGAAGCACAGTCTAGGCTTAGTTGCAAATTGCATCATTGAGAATGTATTTCAGTGTCCTGTTGACCCTCTGAAGGCCTATCTTGCCTTCATAATTGGCTCAGCTGTGCTGGTCCTACTCGTAATAGTCTTTTTGGCCATTTGCTCTTACTACGTGATTCGGTGAGTTCTACTTCGAATGTTGGATTACATTTCAAGTATTATTAAAAGTATTTCAGCATGAAAAGGAGAGAAACCGAACGTTTGAATCAAATGTGGCGCATACCTTTTGTAGCACTCGAAGCAGCAAAGGGAAAAGTGAGCACATGAATTACCAGAGCGGTATGGCTTTTTGAAAAGAGATACTTTCCAGAAAGGAGAGCACAGCCAACGATCCTTCCATAGTGGCTCCAGCTCAACGTCTACAAGAATTTCAGTGGAAAATAAAGTGGAGACAAGAAATTTCATTTTCTATCTCTATCAGGTTTGTCATTTTGTAGATTAGCTGGGCTAGAATAGAAATGTATAGAATATGTATTTGAAAGAAGGAAATTCACAAATAGACCTCCTCAATTATCACTGTAGGTCAGTAAAACAACAATGTACATTTCCAGTAGCAAACACCCCTCAGATAGCAACCTTTTCATCACCCACTGCTGCATTTTTGGATACGGTATCCTATGCTGTTCCATATATGGATACGGTAGCTTATGCTATGCCATATTTGGGTACGGTCCAAACACGGTAGCCGATGCCGTATCGTATTTGGATACGGTAGCCCATGCTATGTCATACTTGGGTACGGTTTGGATACGGTAGGCAATGCTTGTAGTATAGCCTGTGCTGTGTTATGTTTTTGTACGGTTCGGATAAAGTAGCCTACTATGTTGTATCGTATTTGTACGGTAGCCTATGCTATGGAATACTTGGGTACAGTTTTCATACGGTAGCCTATGCTGTATCGTATTTGGGTACGGTAGTCTATGCCACGTCATATTTGGATATGGTATCCTATGCTATTTCTTAAGAAAGTGTTGGTTTTTGAGCTAAACGGTTAGTGATCGTTTATAAGATTCATAAGACAACCTAGAAGATACAGCACCTACGATTGTATCCACGGATTGCAATCAGGAGCCAACCGAGTGGATTAACTGCCTGTTGAGTACCACCATAATTGTATGCGATACTGATGAGTTGTTTCCAGAAAGAGAGTGTGGCTGCAATGAAACATGAAGCAAGGGTACAACTAGATCCTCAGGACTGCTTGGAGCTGAGGAAGGTGAGTTATACTACCTTTAGAAAAAGAATTGGTGTGAATTTTTAAACCAGGCTCTGAGGAGTTCTGGCTTTGAAGCCTGACATGCACAAAGCCATCTAGAAGGGGTTCTGAGGCCAAGTAATTGACTCCCACATAGTTGATGGGCTTCCGGTGAGGGGAGCCCAGATTCGAAATCGTAATGAAGTACGTGCCGAATGTCAATGGGGAAGCAGTTCGGCCATCTCAGGGCTTGATGAACGAGAAATAGGGAGCCGGATATGTTATATGCATGCAGGGAGATATTGTCCGTATACCGGTCTTCTATGGGAACGTCAGAAACATTCCAGAAACATCTGATCCATGAAAATTCTCGACAGTTCTCTTACTAAGCAAGCTTATTCTAAGTTCTATCGGAAGACAACAGCGAATTTATTAATTGGATATGTTAAAGATGCGGGAATTCGAGAACGAAAGCCTCAACCGATTCCTGGGACTATGCCTCGATGGACCACAACTGCTTTCTATATGGAAATATTGCTCTAGAGGAAGTGTAAATGATGTGATCAATGGAGGAACAGTGTCACTGGATAACGTCTTCATATTCTCACTGCTACGCGATATTGCAAACGTATGTTTCTTGGTCAACATTGCTCTCCACCAGCCTCAAACGAATTTCATTCTCTATTCCTTCCGGATACCAGAAACCAGCTTTTAATCTCTGGAACATTCTGGGCATTACAACACTTTTTGAGATCTTTCAAGATAATCAGTTCGGAGTAAGCAAAGAATTACAAGCGGTGATCATTACTCGTTCTCCTATGACGCTCTGCCTTATTAAACTAACCTAAGACTATATACGATTTCCTTTTTATTCGGGTGGAACTGAATAGATGTGTGGGTACGATAATTGTGACGCCTCGTTCAGGGATTGGCCTTTATTCATGGGTCGATGCTACAGTATCATGGTTATTTGACTTCTGAATGTTGTCTGGTCGATGACCGCTGGCAAGCCAAAATTTCCGATTATGGTCTGAGAAAGATTCGAGCATATGACAAACGTCCTCCCGAAGGTAAGTCCTGGAAATATGCTAATAGTTAGGTTTTTNGGTTTTTTGTAACTGGAGAAGCGTCTTCACTTTTCACTGACGAAACACCCAACAATGTAAAAGAGCAGCGAGTAGCCTGATTGCTGCCCTGTACAACTCTTTTTTCATTGATCACCGAAGGGGCCAGAAATTTTGATGTCATCTTGTGGTTCTGGAGTTTGTTTAATGGTCAGCAATGATTAGATTAGCCCACTAAATCTATTGCGGTGCCACTTGATGTCTCGCGTTTACAAATAAACTGTAAACCATTTCAAGACGACTTTCCAAAGCCAATCAATCGCATTCCCTCTCTGCTTAACACCAGTCGATTCGTCTAAGACTTTCTGCTCGAGCTGTGGCATACTTCGCGACAATTTTGAGATCCTGGGTTGACGAAGTAGTGGAAGTTACAAGGCAATAAGAGTGAAGGTGTCGAAGATAGCGCGAAAGTCGGCGGATTTTGAGAGAAAAAACTTCCAAAAAGGCAGTATAAATAAGGTCTGCACAAGATTTTAATGGCACGGAAGAAGCGTTCAAATGAGTGTCAGTTGGCTCTCGCGTAGAGTTGACTACAAGAAGCCAAGAGGCCGAAATTCTCTTCCTGTACCGCCATAGGTCACGACTTCACAGTTACTTCTGATTTAAACTCATTTGATTCATTGCAAATCGTGCGGCCTTGTTTGCCTTAGCCAACTAATTTCCGGATGAAATTTACCATATCGAGTGAGAATTTTCTGGAAAGGTATAACATCCGCTCAACTCGATTTCTTCCAGACTTATTATGGACTGCACCAGAAGTATTGCGAATGGAATGCGATGGATCTCGCGAAGCTGACATTTATAGGTAAGATTCCCTGTAGAACATATGTACATAGAGAAAGGGCGCCAGGATAAGTTTTATGACATCTTCACGACATCGATGCGAATTGACTGGAAACAAAAATTACCTCTTTCTTTCTTTTCCGAGCATTTCCTCTTCGATCACATCAAGATATAGGCATAGATACAGCAAAAGATGCGTAATATTCGAAAGGGTTGTTAGATTTGGAAGGTCGAACATGGGGTATAACACCGATGTCGTCAAGATGGACCGCTTGATAAATGCTTGTTTTGAAAATGATTAAAGTAGAAAAACAGCCTTCATTGATGATACGTAGTTAGGCCCAACCCACCAATAACTCCTTGAGTAGGTGGCAAGTTCACTTTGCATTGGGAACCTGGTTTTTCGAGGCAAATGATTGATATAAGAAGGAAGAAGACTCACAAAACTCTTATTCAAATGAATAATATCATGTACAATTCTCAGAATACATGAACCTTTTCAGAAAAAAAGAGCTTTTCGACATATACGAGTCGTAATTTCCAAGATTGTTGAGATATCTCGTATAGAATATCTCTGCTCAAGGGGATTATGAACTTGAATAGAGCCATTTTTTCAAACAGCATGTTCTTTTTTGTAAATCGGAATTCTCAGCGGAGATCCACCCATCACAATGAGATCAACCAAAAAATAACCGCTTGGAATTCTAATTACGGTATTCCTCTTCCAGAAGGGATGTCTATCGAGAGTAATAACCTCGCAAAATAATGTAGGACTTTCTTATTCAAGCTGCTTTTCATTTTTCTCGAATCTAATAGCTCTCTCAAGCAGAATAGTCTTAAAAACTAATAGCTTTGAAAGAACCATGCGGACTTCGTATTTGTTTTTCTATAATGGGTTGTTCGCTCTTTCCTCTAGAAAAAGATGAATACCGTATCAATCATGTCGTCCTAACCGACTTGCTATTACTATTGTTTACCATTACTGCACCCTCAGTAATGGTAAACTATAAGGAACACTCGGTATTACTTACTCCTTAATCGTTTATTTTCAGTTTTGGTATCATTTGTGCCCAACTGGTCTCGAGAAGTTCTCCATGGGATATAAATAATCGAAAAGAAGATGCAACAGGTTCGTACGCAAAAGCATCCTCAGGTTATGCTATACCCGACTATATAAAGGTGTTATTATCAAACCATTACTGGCTGGTCCTGATTTTTATGGTAAATTCGAGCGTAAGCAGATTACCTACCATACGAGTGGTAACTGAGACACGTGACACTACCACTATGTAAAGAAATAATTATTTGTTGTGAAGCCAGAAACGCCCATGCCCTCGAGGCTTCCTAAGCTATCAGATAGCAGCAGCAGGTTAGTCGCTACCAAACATAAACACGCTTACTAAAGCTCTGAGTTTTGCATCTTCTGGGGTCTTGTTGTCCTAACTGTCTTAGTCGCTCAGTGCAGAATGCATTCAAACTTCACCAAGATGACTTACGTAGCCCTTGGACGTGAACTCTTTTCTTTCCAATGCTCAGCGCCGGGCAAGTCGTCCGTAATAACTGCCTTTACGATATCAAAGATGATGTGATTGAATCTTCATCCTCTTCACAGTTATTCCTTATGAAAATTATTTTGAGGACCAGTTAATTTTAGACGGAATCCCCAACGAAAAAGTTTGCTTCTTCGTGAAAAGTTTACTAAACTGATTTTCTATCTGCAATAATTCGAGTCTTTGGCTATTTACAGAATCTAGCTTAATTTTCTATTTAAGAGATTCTCTATTTGGTGAAAAAAGGAGGGCATGCACATCCGCGTCCTCCTCTGAACGTCAACACTGACCTCGAAATTGAGCCTGCTTTGGTGAGTCTGACTTAGATTGTCATTTATTTTCCTCTACTTGTTTTTTCCATTCGGTTAGAATGTTGGTTGTGGTGTAGGGGCACGCACATCACCCACGCATGATCCGACGATCGAATCCTGGATTGACACTTGCCTAACCGCATTTCGCCCTTCCGTCCCTCCGCGGTTGGTTATTCGTCCCCAGACTCGTCTGGGACTTCTGGGACTCGTGTGAGAGGATAAGAGCTCTGGCGTGTACGTCGGCTGGCTACCGCAAGTCATTCCGCGTTTACATTCAGAAACTCCAACACGATTTTGAGCGGAGGTTGAATACGGTGTTCATACCCAAAAAAGGATTAATTAACGCCACAAACTTTGCCCTTCATTTACCTGGTCATGGATTAAAGTGGAGCAGTGCCGGATGACTACGGATATGATCTGCGGATAAAATTTTTTGAAAAATGTTAGATCAGCTCTTCAACTCTGTTGTAAATATCAGACTCCTCCGTGAATGGGTAGGAAGGCTCTAGCTCCTACATCGCTGCATTTGATTCCTTCTAATGGTATTAGAGGAAGGATACATTTTCGAGGACCGTAAAGAAATATCTGCGCTTTTTATAAATTACAGTGTTGACAATTATAATATTTGCACAGCAACGGTCCGGAATGCCTTTCATTATCTCTTGAAGAATGTGGATTAGCTGATTCTGCAAAATTTACCCCCCTATATCAAAATTTTTCCTTGCCATGAACGAACTTCAATTCGTCTACTTAATCACGGCGACCAATCGTCTTGACCATTGCAGCTTCATCTTATCCGTGATTGTTGGGCTGAGCGGCCATCGGAAAGACCATCAGTGGATGTGCTGAAGTCGAACCTCAAGTCTATGGACCCAAACAGGTAGCAGAAAGGCTTTTCATAATTTACAGTATATCTTCCGACATTTTCTTGAAATTATAAGAATGTTACCACGGAAATCGCTCACTTGCTGACGTGTCACTTTCTCTTAATTTCCTTGCCTGAATCGCTCAACAAGCCCCACCCCCTCTCCCATTCCCCTTAGGTGGAGGAATAGCTGAAATGGCAGGGTGGAATGTTTTTGATAGTGGAATTCAAGCATTTTCGGAATGGTACAAAACTCACTGTTTACGAATTCCAAATGTGAGTGCAGCCTCGACTGCTGGTCGGCGACGAATAAACTGAACATGAAATGTTCACAAACGAGTTGCAGAATACATCTAAATACTCACACGGAAACTAACTTCGTCTATGGAGAATATCCTTCATCCAAGCGCCTGACAATGATCACCAGGAATCTGCCACATTTCGCAACGATTTCTTGTTTGAGAAAGGATACGGTTTAAAATCTTTGTGCTATTTATGTACGTATGACGGTATTTACAGTCTTGAGGCTTCTTATAGCTGTAAGTAGTTGGTCGAATAGTCTTAAGAAGGTTTCAATTGAAACAGCTGTCGAGGAAAGTGAAATTGCCGAAACGTCATCGATTAAGCTAGTGCCACATTGTGTACAAGTCGAGCTTACCTTGCTAGTTCAGCCAGTACACAGATTACGCTCCACAAAACACTGGAGAGCTTAACACCAGTGCGAATCCATTTCGAGTAAGGTTGAATGCCTGGCCGCTCATCAGAACGACCATTGATAGTATCTTTCTTTCAAAATTGAAGTGGTCCATGTAAAGATTAAAGGACTCAGTAAGTAGCGTGCATTCAAAAAAGTGGGGAGAGTTGTCAACTTGTTTAGCAATTCTTATGTCANTACCCGCCCATTGAATTATCGCGAACTGTGCCTTTAACACCAGTGCGATTCTATCACGAGTAAGAGTTGAATGCTTGGGCGCTTATCAGAACGACCATTGATAGTACTTTTCTTTCAAAATTGAAGTGATCCATGTAAAGACTAAAGGACTCAGTAAGTAGCGTGCATTGAAAGGTGTGGGGAGTGTTATCACCTTGTTCAGCAATTCTTATGTCAATTTACTAGGAATGGCAACCTNCCGCCTCTCATTCGATGTCACGTCAGACAGTCTGACTTGACATCGAATGAGAGGCGGACACGTCATTGACATACCCGCCCATTGAATTATCGCGAACTGTGCCTTTAACACCAGTGCGATTCTATCACGAGTAAGAGTTGAATGCTTGGGCGCTTATCAGAACGACCATTGATAGTATCTTTCTTTCATAATTGGAGTGGTCCATGTAAAGACTAAAGGACTCAGTAAGTAGCGTGCATTGAAAGGTGTGGAGAGTGTTATCACCTTGTTCAGCAATTCTTATGTCAATTTACTAGGAATGGCAACCTAATGGACTATGTCTTCAATATGCTTGAGCAATACGCGTCTACACTGGAAAGCGAAGTAGAGGATCGAACAAAACAGTTGAAGGAGGAGCAAAAGAAAAGTGACGTGCTTCTGTACCGCATGTTGCCGAGGTTCGTTTCGTGCAATAGTGAACTATAAGGAAGATAAGGTTCCAAAGACAAACCAATACCATCCAAATTCCCATCGGGGAAGATCCCACACCCCAGTCAGCAATAGTTTCCTGAAGACACGAGCACTCGAGAGAGCGTCAAGATTGGTCAATAATAAAAGTGTAAACGGAAGCTGACATTGAGCGCTTCCGTAGGAGAAACTTGTGATAGGTCAGAAAGCGGAGTACGGGAGTCCTTTCTTACCAGGATCACATCGTGATGAATTGGTGCACTCCTTCTCCTCAACCACGGGCTGATGTCCTGATTCCCTGTTTTCTTTGTAGGAAGATGGTCTAGCTGTTTGAGAAAAATAGAACTGTTGGGTGACTGCTCCTGCATAATGACCAGAAGTAAACCGTAGGACACCAACAACCTTAGCGCATTTCACTTACGACTCGCAATTATATAAAGTATATGTAACATTACTGTTATTATAATTTCGATCGTTTAAGGCAAGTGGCAGAAAAGCTGAAGCTCGGTCAGTCTGTCGAACCGGAAACTTTTGATAGCGTGACCGTATTTTTTTCCGATGTGGTATCTTTCACGAAAATTGCCGCCAAGTGCACTCCGTTGCAGGTGAACTCTATCTCATCTTTACCTGAGTTTTGCTTACTTACAAACTCTTGGTATGTTCCAAAATGGTTTATATCGAGCTTGCTCTGCAGTTTTGGAAAAATCTGAGCTAGTCTCATTGTCGATTCCCTCGACAATCGAGAATTCCTCTCACCAACCTCTATGAATGCTCTCTCCTCCTCTCCCTCTCAGACCATGCTAAGTACCGCTATGTGAAAAGGTTGGGAGACGGGCGTTAGGAACGATTTTGGGTAATCGATTTGCCGCACGCGGCTGTC